TTGCATGTTAGTAAAACTATGTATGCCAGCCAGTACAATTTTCTTGAGCTGTAGCAAGTATATTGGGAATGGTGGCCACTTGTTTTCATCCCGTACCAAACCCACAATGTGTTAACATCTAGCATTTGGATGTTAGATGTTAACATGGGTTTGGTATGGGATGAAAAACAAGTGCCCATACCATTCCCAGTATAATATGATAATTGTTGCACCCATACCAATCCCATAGTTTATATACATCAAGAACCATATGAATTCCATATCATGTTCCCAGATCATTTCCATATAGAATCCTATCATTCCCATAGCAAAGTTGTCATGAAATGGTATAAGGAACCCATGTATTTCCCATAGTAAGTGATATGGGATATGTATGGATTTGTACCAAATACGTATCAAACCCATATCAAAAACATGATATGGGTATGCTATGAAGGCAACCAGGCCATACCAAAGCCATATAACTTCCATATATGGCCCATAGGTTGAACCATATCAATCCCATAGTTTATACATCAAGAACCATATGAATTCCATATCATGTTCCCAGATCATTCCCATATAGAATCCTATCTTACCCATAGCAAAGTTGTTCTGAAATGATATAAGGAACCCATGTATTTCCCATAGTAAGTCATATGGGATATGGATGGATTTGTACCAAATACGTATCAAACCCATATCAAAAACATGATATGGGTATGCTATGAAGGCAACCAGGCCATACCAAAGCCATATAACTTCCATATATGGCCCATAGGTTGAACCATATCAATCCCATAGTTGGTCCATATATGTCCCATATAATTTGGTTTTGTAAGGGCAGTTTTAATTTCAATACTGGACACACCTGCCACCTCGCCAGCCACTGAACTAACGTGTGTAATTCGAAGCTTGTAGGTTGTTTATCTGGTATTTATATGTTGAGAATGCGACGCTCAGCTATGGGAACTTCGTGTTTATTGTAGGTACTGTAAATTTTTAGTGGTACGCTACCAGTTATAAAATCTTTCGTTTGGGGTCTACAGAAGATAGATATTTAATAGACATGGGATATGTAAATATGCAAATACAATGCCCTCTTTGTTTACATCTGATCACACAAGCGCATGCATAAAATGCAAAATTTACAATGGCTTCAAATGACGCTCACAAAGGAAAATCTTATTTGTTTCTGAAGATCTACCGTCTTTTCTCTAGTCCTTTAAAACAGTTCGAAGCCATTCTTCGCGAGCATTTCTCTTCTTGTTCACCATCGGCTGTAGTCTCCTACGCAGACTACATCGGCTGCGCCAACAACAGGGATTTTAAAAATTGCAAATTCACACGTTCTGCTGGTCGGACAGCCATACAAAGCACAATTAGAGCCAACCATACTGTTCAATATTACTTCAAACGTTTAACCGTATCCTGACATACTAAAACAACGGCAAAAATACAATTATCCAAACGTGGTGTATAAACAAAGCCTTCGTCCCCTCGATCATAAACTGTTCACGAAGCTCGCTTTCTTCGATATTTTCATCTCCAACGTTCAAAATAGGTTTGTATATTTGTTCGCTTTCTGTTTCAATTTCCATCTTGATCTCAGAAGCCCTCTAGCGCTTTGAAATATGATCTTTTGTTGGCATATTATGTTTTCACTCATATGTTTTCCTAATCACTCATCACAAAGCACCCCCTTTCCTTGTCACGTGACCAAAAATAAAAATGAACAATAACATATTTGTCACATGGTCCAGCTAGCCTAACCATCTAGTTCTATTAACCATGGTGTATATGAACACATTAAGAAATTTCTCGATTCTCAGCCAAACTTGTCCAGTAACGAAGCCTAGACCTGTGAAGTAGGAAATCAAGCTGTTCCTATAGTTGTTAAAGATCAAGAGTCAATGACAACATATTCCAGCTGAATCTCCTGGCACCTACCTATGCCCGTAATGTGCAAATCCATCAACATACTAACACACAGGATTCAACACCCCTCAACCATGTGAAACCAATCTTCAACTACCATTGACAACCCCCTCAGGAATCCCAACCTAGTCCAAACCCAGCTGACTACAATATCGAAACTTTTAGAAATTCGGAATCAAAGTAGATCACCTTTGCCAAAGCCTGGTGTCTTCTGTGTCGATCCCCTACAGGAAAATGGAATTGATAATGGTGAAAAAAAATTCCTATAGGAAAAAAATATTCCTATAGGAATTCCTATACGAATTCTTATAGGAATTTTAATTTTTTATACAATTACACTATTCCTATATTGCATTTTATTCATAATATTTAATAATAAGAGAATTTAATACTTAGGCCATTGTTGTTCCTGCTGTATACAAGTGATATTACAGAATTGCAGTAAAATAATTTCAATTATACTCTTTTCAGATGACACTAATATATTTTATAGAGACAGCCCATTTACAGTGGGGAGTACTTACGTGTAGTAGCTTTTATAGTCAAAATTTAATTTAATGAATTTATTAACTTTGCCTGCATAAAATTACAATCACAAAACAGTGTGGCTGAGTCACTGCAACAACTTATTGCCAATTACTGCAGGCCCATTTCTATGTGTTTATAGTGGGCTGAGATCTCACTTACCAGGATGAATTGTTTTTCATATAAAACAACTATAATCTAAAACAATTAACCCATTAAGCTGCATTGTATTCCAATGCACCCTACTTCGTCATTTTTCCTGTCCAATGCCAGACAAGTTCAATCCACAAGGAGATTGCAAGCACTGACACTCATCGGCTTAAAGAAACTTTCAACAAAGTGGTCAAAAAATTCATGTAATTTGTATTTTTTGCAGATCTGGAACTGAGGAAGGTTATGGAGAAGACATTTCAACCTACCGCAGAGATTGTATCGAAGCAAAACAGGTTGAAAAAGAAAGAAAGATAAAAAAAGACGAGGCTGATAGGAAACAAGCTGAGCATATAAGAAACTCGGCAATGGGAAATTTAGGTAGTATTAGACTTATTTATGTTAATTACATGTTGTTGGAGACATTTATTGGTTGCTAAGTTAATTTACTCTCCTTTAACACCAGAAGAATTCCTAACTCAAGTCTTTGACGAAAAACACTGATCATTTTCAAACTATTTCAGTCCAGAAGCAATCCTAATTGAGTTTAGCTGCAGATGAGTCATCAGACGACAATGAAAACATTTCTTTAGAGGAGGATGAAAAAATAACTCCCAAGAAAGGTAATTTTTATTTAATGCACATATGATTTTTTACAATGGAAATGAAATTAACAAGCATGTGATTCTTTTTAGTTTCAAATCATACAGTCTTTTAAAATGTTTAGTACCGAACTTAAAGGGGGTGGTGAAGAACAGAAATACAACAGGGAATGACAGAGTATAGTTCTCAGTAAAACCAGTCTAGTAAATATTGGAGTCTCTAAAAATTTACACTTGTGATTTCCAAGAGATGCCTAAACCCAGATATTTACTCATATTGACATGCCTTCCACAGGCATCACCTTAACTATGTACTGTAGCTCAGTTTTCAGAGCACTTCATGCAGTGCGTACATGTGGCTAGCCTTTGGTATAAGAATACCGTAGCTAAGCCTACATGCATTTGCGATTTTGCGTACAGCGTTACCAGATTAGGCCGCGTTTACACTATGACGCTACAGCTAAACACTCCATTAAAAATTTACTATGTTTCTAGTGTTGAGACTATATTGTGTTTACACTATAACAGAGTGGGTTGCCATAGTGTGTTAACTGCAGAATTATAATGTTTTTACACTATAACAGAGAGTGCCGTAGCATATTAAAAATTCACTGTTTCTTAGTATTGTGTTTACACTATAACAGAGTGGTTTGTTGTAGTGCATTAACTACGGACCACTACGTTTGGCACTCCGGATCCAAATCATTATGCTACGGTAAATTTGCAGTATTGTAAACGGAGCCTTAATTAGTGTTTATAGTTGTCTCTTAAATTGACTAATATAATTTATTTGAGGACGTTTGTCAATATCAGTATTCAATCGGAGACTTATGTTGCAACGTGCTGGTAACTCGTGTGTTAAGATGAAGGGTTTCTTTCAAGATAGCGGCCACACAGGAAGTCGGCCAACAATCTGGCTGTGCAAGTGAACTATATATACCATTATATATATATACATTATATATTGTTATATAGTTCAGTGGGCTGTGCTGCATGACATCATGGGGTCACATGCCTTGGTCATATGGCTGACGACCATAGATGACAACACAGGCTGTGTTCATTCTTTTGCATTCACCGTTCTTTGCTTTGGTTTGCAGAAGCAAGTATAAAGGTTTCTTTCTATACCGTAGACATACCGTAGACTAATAGGCTCCTAATTTTGTATTGTTAAACTCTTATTGCTTTACATGTAAACTATCAAGCTCGCTATAAAGCCTGGCGACTGACAAACTGCCAGTACTACTGACCATGTTGTTGATGGAACATTTGCTTCTATTATTAGATGACCGTGTGATCAATAGAACATTTGCTTTTATTATGACATCATAATACAAAGTGGACCAATTAATTTGTTGATAGACATTGAAAATTAAAAACAAGCAGATGTTCAAAGAGGACTGTGTGTCATGAAAATATAGTTGATTATAAAGTAGCAGCATGTAGCAAAGTCTCGGCCCCCGAAGTCGCAAGCAAGCAATATGGCGAATTTTTCATTATAAAGTTCACTGAAAGGGAAGGCAAGCACTGAAATGGCAATACTCAGAACCAATTTTATATGTTCTGATCTTTTCATTAAAAAGAATAATAAATGATTAATCAATTTTAACTAAATGAGCTGCCACATTTAACGACTAGTGTAAACACATGGGTAACACCTTGTTGTGCATGCCGCAGTTTTCAAAAGATAAACACCTAAAAATATAGCTCTTATTTCACAAAATCTGTATGCTACATATATTATTAAAAGAGCTCTACTAAAGTAATTCCATGATAATTATAGTAAGTGAGCAGTATGTGAGAAAAACTACTAATTAAATTGCAATTTTGCAAAGTACATTATAAATTTTGTGGCTTCCCGCATTTCATGGAATTTGAGAAGGGTATTTTGTAATTAACAATGTCCTGACCTATTTTAGAATGTTTCCTTCAGGTTATCGATGAGTACTTCTGAGTAAATGAGCTTGTAGTAACTTTATGATGTCGGCTTTATTAATTTATGAGGATATATATGAAACAATAAGCAGTATTTTGGAAGCTTTTCAATCGCTGTCATATACTGATGTAGTTTCAGAATTCGCACCTGCCAAATAACAGCATAATTCAATATACTGATTTTAAATTTTTGCCAAAAATGTTCATACGCGTTTTAATGTGGTTTTATTTTTTATTTTCTTGCCAAAAATGTAGCCTACATATAGTTGAAACTACACACTTCTCAAGCTAAATTAAACAACTTTAATTCTTGGACAAGACGACCAACAGTAGGGTCATGTAAACAGTGGAAATCATGCCCTAAAAATTGCAACAGAATCTCTTCTAAAACCTTTAAACTAGACTGAGTAAACTTGCCAATTCCAGGGCATATGAGGGTGCAATGCGACTTAATGATTATTAATAATGCAATGTTGCTTGCAAGAGAACATCTGGTTTGACTGTAATAATTATTTAATAAATTTCTGATATTGCAGAGTGGGGTTTACAGTCTAGTTCATACAGTATCAGATATAGAAGGTCAAGAAGTTCAAGGTATTGTGTATACATACTTGTTTGTACATTCTACAAACTCTCAAACTTGTTGTCTATAGTTTGTTTCAAAGAATGATTGACATGTACAACACACTCTAAAACATGCCTAGAATATCATCACTTTTTCACAAAACACATTACAAAATTTAACTCATTGTAATCAGGAGTGGGTTATAGTTAAATCATAGAATAAAGATCCATATAGAAGGGCCACTTACGTCAGAAGCTTTGAAGTTTCTGTCCTCGCGCATGTCGCATTACGCATGTTGGCCGCCATTTTCCTAGCCAGTCAATGACATTTTCTGGCCAATAAACATGCTGTACTGGCTGGCTGCCCCGCTTTCTGGCCAGCAAACTGCTTATTTTGCATGAAAAAACGTGGACACGTTGCAGCGGTGAGTGGCCCTTCTGTTACTGATCTTTATTCTGTGGTTAAATCAGTTCCTTAATAAGAATAGTGTTTTTTGCTGCCCAAGGGCGGGGATTTATCCATTGGTCTGAGACAGGGAATCAGAAAAATTTTCAGAGAAAAATAAAATGTTTGGGTGTTTGTCAGCGGGGATCTTAATTAAAAATCAAGAAATTGATTTCTGCATAACACACAATTTCAAGCATGTGCTCGGCTAAGTTAGCCTAGTCATAGAACCTAGTCATAGAAGATTCTAGTCATAACTTAATCAGCATGCATATTATTAAAATAGTACTAGAAAATACATGCATGCAGAAACCCTCGCCTTGCTGACAAAACCATTGTATTTTCCGAACATGAATTATCTAAAGTAGTTGCCATGGTAACACGATAATTTTTTAAGAATATTCGGTAATCGTTCTTACAAATGAAAAATCGCTTAAAAATATCACTTTTAATTACAAAATTATAAATTTCCCAACATATATATGTTAGGTATGATATTATACGTAATATAAGCTTCAATTTAAGGTAAATTTCAACCACAAACGCTTCGCAAAACGTTTTAAAGTGTTCTTTATAAAACTAAACTGCCTTTAATGAAATGGCTTTATCGATAAACTTTGAGTTTGCAATAAAATGATTTCAAATTCTAGCATGCAAATAACTTTGCTTTCTTTTTTATTTAAAAAAATTCAATATAATAAAAAAAGGAATCAATATTAAAGATAGACTGAATTGGGGCCCGATATGCTGTCTTGTTTAGTTGTTTCATATACGCAAAGGCCGTCGGGTTTTAAAGCAATTATAAAATCAATATTTAAAACAAACTTACCTTCGTTAACGTCGGCTCCCTTCTTTTAGCCGATTCTTTCGCCATTTCTTTCTTGCAATTTACAAAATCTTGCAAAAATACGAGCAAAAATGAAATATATTTGCAAGAAATTCATCAATCATCAAATATTAAAGAAATTTTTCTATTTCGCTGTCGTCATGCAGTCGTTATAATGCAAACTTTAAATTGGACCAATCACAGTGTTTGCTATTCATGACAGTCCGCCATATTTTTGAGATCAGTGAGGATGACCACCCACGGTTGGTGACCCACGCCCACGATATTTGATGAACTTTAGACTTTGCTAATGCTTTCGTTTTCCTGGGTGTAAATAGCCGGGGGGAATTAGTACCCTCGCACGGCGCTTCGCGCCGTCGGCTCGGGAACAATACATAGATACTAGAAATACATGGATGATGAACACTTCAACTTGATAATCCACAAGAGCCTAACCTCTGTGATAATTGATTGTTAAGTACATGTGTGAGATTAACCCATTAGAGTCCAAAACTCTCCCCCTTGATGAGTAAAATCATCTGGCATTATACAGAGTAAAATAATAAAGTAGGCACGTGCATTGCTGCTGAGTGGGTTAACTAATAAATGAATACTTGAAATAGTTAAATCATTAAGTGCCAGTGCTCTCACCTTGTCAAACAAATTTGTCTGGAGTTAGACAGACTAAAATATTAGTACTAGTTAAGCCATTGGATGTGAAAGTGGTTTGCTTTGATTTCTATAGGTGATCAACTCATCTGTTATGTTCATGACATTCCAATGAAGTTTGGAAGTATATGTCATACATGACTTGCAATTTGCAAACTTCTACATCCAAACTGAAGGCTGTTTGTCCCCCCCCCCCCAAAAAAAAAAGCAACCCTCTCAAGAAAGCAAGTGCAGGTAGAAGTCCAATAAAAATTTAAAAGTTTGATTTCATCAGTAAATTCAATAATGTTGTCATCAACAAACACAGTTATTGAAGATTACAAAGAGCCTATATTGGTTTCTCATGTGATGACTCATCTGCACTAGTTACTCTGTCAAACGTCCATGGTATATCTCTGGGACAGCTGGTTACATTAAAGGCAAATGATACACAGATGAGTGGTGTCAAGCATGTGAAAATAGACAATGGAACTTTGAAACAAGTCATGGCTATTCTTGTTGATCCGACTGCCTCCATCCAAGCTGTATTTTGGGAAGAATGGGTTGATTCAATTGAAGATGGAAAGACATATATATTCACGAACATGAGGGTATGAGAAGATAACTACGCAAATGAGAAGTTTGTCAATACAGCAAAGTGTGGATGCAAGATTGAAATCAGCATTCCATTTAGTGAAGCACTGCCAGATGTGACACTCTCCCTGAGTGAGATGGCAACAAAAGAGGTAACTATTTCAGTAAAGTTCTAAGTAACTTCTTCACTTGCCACAGTTGCTTGAAAAAGCTTGAAGAGAGTGGTACCAAGTATATATGTTGTCCATGTAACATGAAGCAGGAGCCTATCAATATTCAGTGGTACTGCAAACTTAGATTCCAGGATACATTGTCGCAGCAATTCAACCTTTCTGTATTTTACCCTCAATTGATGAAGCTGTTGGAGATCCAGGGAAGATCTTTGTTGCCAACATTAACCAAAGATCACATTGAAGATATTCTTCTTGATTTGGAGGGCATTGAGATTAGCATCAATTTGCAACAAGGAAAGTACTGGATATTTTAGAGTGAAACAGGGACAACCCTCCCACTTGATAACTTTGGTAAAGATCACATTGATCACGGCATGTAGTAAAACACTTACTACCGGAACACCGGAACACCACCGGAACACCGGAATACCATCATTTTGTTTGGGGTTAGGGTTTGGGGTTAGGGTTAGGGTTGGGGGTTAGGGTTGGGGTTAGGGTTAGGTGGTGTTCCGGTGTTCTGGTGGTGTTCCGGTGCTCCGGTAGTCAGTGTTTTACTACATGCCATTGATCACATTGCATGTGATCACACTTGATCACATTACATTGCATGTGATTAAAATGCTAACGTTTTAAGTTGTGTTGTACCATGAGACTGAGCATTTCATGAAATGTACTTTTCATAAAAATGTTGTTTTGCCATGGTACTGGTATAATAGTATATAAGCACGTAAAGCACCCTGTTGTTTGCTTTTAATATTTCAGTTTTGTTCTTTGTAATGGTACAGGTAATTATTGAAATCAGTGGACCAAGACACCCCCACTTTTTTGGTATCCCCCCATTCTGTTTCAAAGTCTTCACATGATATCTCATATGTTCCACATGACCAGCTAGATGTTCAACTGTTCTTGAAAAATATACAGGGCCCACATTCTTCCAAAGTGTATGCCACTATTTTACAAGATCAAGATCACACTTTCAGTAAAAGGTAGATCATTACTATAGACCTCTAAAACGAAGAAATGTGAGTGAATATTTCAAATTGAATGAATATATTTCATATAATTTGTTGCTTGGCCTTCGTTCAGACGTCTGTGACCTTGACCATGTTTACATTTGAATAAATGACGGTTGAGTAACAAATTTCTGGCGTTAAATTCTTAACTATGCACCTGATCGGACAATAAAATTAGAAACCCATTTAATTAATTTACCTGTCAGACTGTCAAGCTGAAACTTTCAGTTTTTCACACCTAGTCTCCTCCGCAGCATGGATTAAGTAAGAACAGATGTGTAACTTCAGTAAAAAAGTTGTACCACGGTCACCATCTTCCTAGCAAATGTCGCTCGTGTGACAATTTGTCATTTGGTAATATGTCATTGACATTGCTTTCAAACTCCTTTCAACACTTTTTCCACAACTTTAATTGCTTTTAACAATTTTGAACATTGAACAAACAATGCTCTTGATTGTCTAATCCATAAATTTCGATCCAAAAAAGCTGCAATAATATGCAAACAATTCATGTTTTCCAGGACACCATTTCGCTAGCAAGTGCGATTGCTTGTGCATAACATGCACATCTAGGGAAATTTGAGGACACAAATTCCTATTAAGTTACACATCTGGTATATACTTCATCTGTGTCTGCAGGCAATTTGTATTGTTTTGTACTCTGTATTGTTTTGTATAACAGGTTTTATATTTGGGATAAAGCTTGACCAAAGTTTGATAATTTAGAAAATGCATTTACAATACAAAACAAATAAGAGTTGAAAACCTATTATACAAAACAATACAGAGTTGCCTGGTTAGCAAAGCAGTGCAGTGAAAGCGAAGCAGTGAAATAAACCGTTTTTCTTTTTTCATTTACAATACAAAACAAATAAGAGTTGAAAACCTATTATACAAAACAATACAGAGTTGCCTGTTCAACAAACAGTGAAAGTTTATGTAAAAATCGCCCATGAGGCACCAAGTCAAAGGCTTTACTGAAGTCCAGGTAGACAACGTCTACTTCATCACCAGCATCAAGCGTGGTTCCCAAGTCGTGAAGAACTGACAACAACTGCGTAATACAAGATCTTCCTCGAACAAAGCCATGCTGTGCAGATGTTAGAAGGTGACTGAGCTTCGATAGTAAGTTCCTGAGGACGCAACGTTCACACAATTTGCTCACAATAAATAGAAGCGAAATTTGACGATAGTTGGGCACTAAAAGCTTTACATCCTTTTTTAAACACTGGTGTTATGTTTGCCTGTTTCCAATCACTTGGAAGCTTACCCATACGTAATGACTTGTTGAATAATAAGCATAAGGAGGGAGCTAGTTCGTTTGCACATTCTTTCAGAATTCTCGGATGGAGATTGTCCGGTCCAGGTGTTTTACTCGAGTTGAGATTTTGTAGAGAGGACAATACTGGGGAAATTCGAGGGTCGCTGCGATATCATGCGTGTATGGGGAGGAGGGAAGGTTACTGGGTATTGATGTATCAGTGTTGAAAACGGTGGTGAAATACGTGTTAAACGTGTTGGCCTTCGACCTTGCATGGAGATTGTCCGGTCCAGGTGTTTTACTCGAGTTGAGATTTTGTAGAGAGGACAATACTTCTTCGTGGGAAAATTCGAGGGTCGATACGATATGCGTGTATGGGAGGAGGGAAGGTTACTGGGTATTGATGTATCAGCGTTGAAAATGGTGGTGAAATACGTGTTAAACGCGTTGGCCTTCGACCTCACATCCGAGTGAGAACGTCCGTTAAGTTCGACAGTTTTGGGAATGTTGGAACGTCTCGTCAACCGGTTGAAGTAACTCCAGAAGCGGTCAGGGTGAGAAAAGCATGAGTCTGAAATGTTCTTAAGGAAGGCAATACGTTTAGATCTTATTAGGTATTTTACCTTCTTACGTTTTTCACGGAATCTCTCCCAAGTAGCTGAGTTGTTCTTTTCTTTTCCTCTTTTCCAAAGCGAGTTCTTTTGCCGTATTGCATGGGTTACCTCACCATCAATCCATGGCGGTGTTATGAACTTACAAGGCTTGCGCTTCGGTATGAAGGCTTTCAGCTTGGAGAAGAGTTGTGTTTTCCATGAAGTCCAGTTGTGTTCAACGTCATTATCCGTATCTAAAGTTCTTCAGCGGGTCGTTCCTTAA